TACCTATACAATAAATTTTTTATTATAAAAAGAAAACAAGAGCTCAACTTAATGATGTTACGTCTCCGCCTCTTTATCCTTATTTTGAATCTATTTCCATAATATTATTCACTAAGTTGGATGTTTTAAAGAAATTAGCATATATACACTTATGTCTCTTTGTATATACATTCATTTATTTCATATTATAAAATATTTAATGCAATTTGTGGTTTATTTTTAAAGTACACACATGAGCTCGCTGTCTATCTATCATTTAATGAGAATGCTATACAGTGTAGTTATGTGTGTATATGCACCAAGTAAATATATAAAAATTTTATAACATGATACAAACAAATTTACAATTCTATAACGATGAGTTTTTTTTTTTTTTTTGCATTTTTAAGCGTTATTCCAACAAAATATTTTAACCTTATACTTTTTATATATTTTTTTTTTAGAAAATTACTGCAGGTCATGGTTGAGGTATCACCGTAGCTAATCGTTGAATATAGGGATGAAGTCAAAAAAAAAAAAATAAGTATGTAAAATTCATATGAAATGTAAAAAAAAATATTGAAAATTGAGTTCTCGTGCCAGACATCACCCTCTCTCGTTTTAGTTCTTACTTTATCGTATCCTTTTTTTTGATGTTTGTTTGTAAAACTCTTATCATCCGTACACACTAATATTGAATTTAATTTTGTCGTGGGTATAAAATAATTTTTTTTTCTTCTTCATTTTGTGTTTTTCTTTATTACCAGCCTTGTTTTGACTTTAATATGAGAGGATTTTTAGTATTTATCGTCGGTATTGCATGTATACGATAAAGTGGTATGAAGAGAAGATCCTTAAAATTTTTATCCTCTAATTCATTTTTTTTTCTGTTTTTTTTTTTTTTTTATTTTAATTTTTTATAATATGTTACTTTTGATCTTCTTTTTTTATATTTTTACCGATGTGATTGTATATTAAAAAGGGAGGTATTGTGATCGGACTGAATTTCACATATGGATAGTTGTAGAGTGTCACAGTTCCTTCCAATTGTGAATGCGATAAATTTATAAACTTTTTATGTATATCTATGTTAAGATCCAATAACAATATAGTCTAACGAGACGATTGTGCTATATTTTTAATAAATTTTAAGAAAGTAATTACAGACAGGTTTTTATTGGGACTTTACGTGTAAGAAACAAAGCCAAGAAATGCGAAATTCGAAAATTAATCAATGAGTTTTGTTGAAATCTGATATTATAACTTAATATTTCGATTGAACATTTTTGACCAGAGAACTAGTAAGGTTTTCGTGGGAACCCGACCTAAAGAAGTAAAATTTTCTTTATTTGAATACCTGACTTCTATGGAATAGAATTTAAGTTTTAGGACCAAGTTTTTATCATTTTAAAATATAAAATTTATAGGATTTTTGAAAATTTTGCAATAATTCTCGAAGAAGAGATATAGAATTTTCTATGGCAAACTCATGAACAAATGAATTTGGACCCCAGAATATTCTAAATTAAAACTGACTCTTTAGTTTAGAATAAAGGATCTTAATTACTGGTCTTGTTTAGTTTCGTGAAGGATTTTATTAACTACTCATAATTAAAATTATTGGATTCAATACAATGAGTATAAAATGAACCTTATTAAACTGATTTCGTTGCAAACGAATTGTTGTAGTCAGAATTTTCTGACAATTGTTCTGATAATAAACAATACTTTCGGTTATATTCGAGCCACAGCACATTTCTCATAATATAAGCATATTTTCTTGAATAAAAAAACAAAAACTAAAAACTTTTTTTACACACCTGGGGAAAAATTTGGCAGTTTTTGTTTTTTTTTTTAACCGAAACTTTACTTTTGTTATTATTTTTGTATAATATTATAATTGTTTTATACACTTATTTTCGTACATACTTTTGCTTGTTTAACTGTAGCACACGTTTTATATGTAACACAAATAGAGTCAATGTGTACGGTATTTGAACCACATATTGGTACAAATATAGGTATAAAGTGTTATACGATTATGTTTATTGTTTATTGGAATTTCTATTCAAAAAGAGTCAACCTTATTTTTATTGTACATATTATAAAAATATTAAATAATTAAAGTTAATGGTTCGTTGAATCCCGTATATTTGTATTACATTTTATTTCAATATTTTTAACTTAACATAGTTTTTCTCTCGATTATCAAGAATTTTTTCCAAATATCATCTTTTGATCTACGATTTTAACAAGTTTGTGCCATACGAAATTCTCATACATACTTGTATTTTCGTATTACACCGAGTATAACAGTTTTGTGTTAAAGGGGTTTGTTTTATTTTTTGTAATTAATCAACCGTGAATTTTTATTGATAAAAAATTGATGGTTTCGTGTTTTTCTTTTAATAGTTTTGTTAAATTAAATTAAATATACTATAATTAATTACAATGAATTTATTCAATATTATACTTATATTTTATTTTTTATTATGTATAATTATAATAAAAACTGTAATATAGTGAAATTAATTAGAATATCGATAAAAAATTTTGAATTTCCCCCAAAATTTTATTTAATAAAATAATGCATAATTGCGATGCAGTAAAATTGTTTTTTTTTTTATTTGAAATTTTCGAATCATGTTAATAAATACCTCGATATACAAACGTTTTTGTGTATATGAATGGTTTAGAAGGGGCAATTAGGGAAATTTAGCAAATATTAGTTATTAGAGATAAAATTGAAAGAACTGAAAACATCGACAACCAAAGCAATAAAAAGAAGGTTTAATTAAAACTAGGGATGATAAGTCTGGGAATATAATCATTCATGAGCCTGTTGTAAAAATTTTGTTCCACATACATATCCTTCATGCAAATAAACACTTAAAAATTGCAGAACAGTAGGTAATTAATGTATCTTTACTTAAAATTAATTATGTAGAGAGTGTGCCCAGAGAAATTTACAAAGTGAAAATTTCTCGAAAGTTTTCTTTTCTTTATTTTTAGTTACACAACAATAAGAGATAAATATATATAGCCATATACAAAATTTCCTTCAATCTCTCACACTCTTCCGATCGGTAGATTAAATTACTTTTACATAATCAAGTTTAATTTCCAGAAAGTTTTAGAGTGAGGATTAATTTGAATGAGTGGAATTTGAATGGACAAAAGGAATTTTAATTTTATTTTAATAATTCTCCTTCTAATACTAAAAACTATTGCTATACTCCAATTAATGCATAAAGCTCTGAATTCTCTTACACCTCAAGTTTTTTAATCGAACTTTAACTGCATAACTTATTTGCTTGTTATCATCACACCATTTTTTATGTAGCAATTGTAACAATTGTTATTCTTACAACATACGCATCACTAAAATAAGGTTATATATACTCAAATTGTTATACTGTATAAAATAAGTTGTTTAATAACAAAAGTTTGGAAAAAAATTCACTTTTCGGAACAAAATTAAAATTGGAAATTTTAAAAAGAAATTAAGTACATACATACCCACACATAAACTCGTAAAAATCCACATATACATGGAACCTAAAATTTTAAATTTAGAATATTGTTATATAAATTTATTATATTCCATTTACATTATGCACATAATATTATACAAAAATAAATAATAATATGTTAAATTTTACTATAGTGCAAGTTTAATTGAAAAATTTTCAAATTAATTTCAAATTAAAATTAACTTTTACGGGTGAAATAAAAGTAAATAATGTAAATGTATGTATAACAGAAAATTTATGTTTTTGTTGTTGGTCTTGCAAAAATTTCTTAAATAAATAAATTCTTAATTCATTTGTAATTAGTTTAAACTTTGGATATACTCTTACAAATATAAAAATTCAAAAACAAAAAAAAAGCAAAAAAACTACAAATAAAATAAAAGCACAAAGGAAACATTCTTTGCAAAAAAAGTTTATAAAGAAAAAGAAAATCTAATTAAATTACAAGATTAAAAATTGAAATGTATAAACACGAAAAAAAAAATTGTTTCAAAAATTGTTTATAAAATAAAATTTTTTAATCAATTAAATATTAATTTACAATTAATTTCATATAAATTTAAAAAAATAAAATTGTTTTATTTGTCAAAGCTGTTATACGAACAATTTTTTAAAATGAAATTTATAAAAGGCATATTAAATACATAGTAATACTGGACACCAACAATTTTTTTGTGCCATCTTGTTCTGAGAACAAAGCTCATTAATAAATTTTCTAACGCCACAGTAATTGAAGTTTAGTTAACCACACATGTTGCAAAGTTTAAATCACATATATTTTATTGATGCTTATTTCATTGATTCTGTGAGCAAAACTCGATTTTATTTACCCATTATAACATTAATATGGAAATCTAGCGTCTGAAACAACATTTCCTAATTACTAATATAGAAAAAGCGTCGGTAAGAAACAATATTAAATACGAATGGCCAGCGACAATATTATGCTGAATGCCCAGCGACATCACATAATTTGACAGATTTTGTTTTGTATACTTATTATCAATAAGAATTGATGTCTGAATGTGAATCTCTCAATTAGAATTCACCGCGGGATCAAAAGTTGAACTTCAAATGTTGATAACTGCAAAAAACAAATACGTTTCAGCTTCAATATAATTAAATGGAGTTGCTTTAATTTCAAACATCAAAGCAGCAATTAAAAGTTTTTTTCATCTGATTCTGAATTTGTTGCGTGTGTCAACACTTATTTACAAATTGACAGCAGATTTAAATTGCCATTGTTTTTTCACCCCATAGAAATTTTGCAATTGTCAAATTTCCAAATTTTATTTTATATATTTTCATCCCGCCTTATTATGGTTTCACTTGCTTTGGATTAAAACGAAAATTAAAATTTTTGTTTTATTTTGAAGTATTTTAATATTGCAAAATTTTTAATATACGCATGGTTTCTTTTATATCCAGATAACTCTAATAAGAATAAAATTACTATTTACTATATCAGAAAAATTTTATACAAATCAGATGAAAATTTAATGGATTTTAAATCATACGAGTATGCAGGAACGAAAGAATCATTAATGTGAAAAATTAGAACTGAAATAATTGAACAAATTCAAAATTTCAATATTATGTATGCAGTGAATTAAAATAAAATGGAAATGGAAGAAGTTTGTAAAAATTATATGCACTTTTGCACATAGATCATACATCATTTGATGCTTTTTAACTTGTTGCCGTATTACTTTGGATGATAGTGAAAGACAAACTGGTTAATAACTTTTATTACATGAAATGAACTAGAATCTGAAGATAAGTAAGAGTGGACATTCCAGATATAAAATAAATCACTCAAAATTTGTTAAGGTTCAACAAATATTTTGTTTCTGGAATTAAGTAATTTCTTTGTAAGTATAAAATTATAATTCATCAAAAATATCATATTTATTTCAATTATTTTCTTATAATTTATAAAACAAAATGATATTAGGTATAAATAATTTATTGTTACTTGTAAATTATCTTTATTTTTGCAAAAAATGAGAATGTTGAAGAAATTTGCAAATTATTTTTATCAAAAGTTTTCATTATAAATAATAAATTTTCTTGATATTACTACTTTTTTTCCGAAAATATTTTAACCTTATACATATTTAACCTTAAAAAATCTATTATTTTTTTAAAATAAATAAATTTTCATATTATTATTAAAACTTGTTATAAAAGTTACTTAGAAAATGATCTTAGATTGTCTTAATATCTCAAATTTTCTCGTTAAATAATTTCAACAAATTTTTCTCTGTTATAATATGGAACATCTTCTACTTCTCTTATCTCTAGGATATTTTAAAACCTTGTTCGAATTTTATATCTTTAGGTATATAAACATTTATACTATAATATGTAAGAGTCTTTATATACTATAAGGTACTACATATTTATTATATGTGTAGTAAAATGGTATAAAAGAAAGAGAAAACTTTTCCTAAGATTCTTTAAAGAATTTCAAGAGTCAAAATGTTTAAAAAAAGAAAAAATGAAACAATAGAAAAGAAAAATGAACTTTTCTTCAACAGTATATTTAAAAGAATAAAAAGATTAAAAAAGGATAAAAGGAGTACAATAATATTTTTCATTTTATTTTCTTTTTTTTATTATACTTCTATTAGTGCTCTTTTATTAAGATTTACAGAGTATCCTTCTATACAGTAGTTTTACCACAAAAATTTCTTATTATATACAATTTTTGTATATAAAAAGAAACAATTTCTCATACCTAAACAATAAAGTGAAAATTTTCACAAATAATATAAAAATATGCAGAATTTTTACAAATTATGTACTTAAATACAATAACAATTAAACGAGGTCTTTTAAAATTTTGGCCCTCTTTGTATACCTAATCATTTTCAACTTTGTCTAGTTCGGCAAGATAGTGTTCTTAATATATTTAATATTTTAAGTTAAAAAATTTGGCCTCTTTGACCCAGTTGAACTGTGAATTTGTAGTTTGAAATATAATATTACTTGTACTCCTTTGAAAACCCATCATAGAAACATATACAATGTAGACAACTAATATGTTAACTCTATTACAAAATTATCAAAAACTTATTCCGCAATAAGTAGGATCTAATGTGACTGTACTACTGAATTTTTACGAAATTTAATTTTGGATCAAATTTTTCGATCCCTTTCCATAACCATATTCTTTTTTATAAAACTTCTTGAATAAACTCTTATGTATAGCATTTCAAATCTACTTATTCAAATTGCCTTCTATAGAAGTCTTATTTAAATAAACTTGAATTCTTTATTCACATTACATTCTAAAAAAAAACTATAATTTATGTGTATTACATACTTAATATTATGGTTTTACATTTTTTTAAAAAAAAAATTACTACTTCTATTAAATGTAGTTCATCTTCAATTAAATGGAATTTGAAAAATGAAATTTATATAACATTTTCATGTTTTCTATAATATTTTCTTTCCCTTTTTCTATTTCACCTTTATTTCATAAATTTTACATTAATTGTATTAAAAATGTGTTATATATAAGAATTGAAATCGCATGTAAAAACGATGTGATACTTTATAGTAATGGCTTGTGTAATGGGATTTAAAATACATGTATGACGAGCACGGTGCAATCATAAAACGTTGAGAGGCAGAGGGAGAGAAATAGAAAACAGGAGAAAAAATAGAACAGGTAACAGTAAAGTAAATGGATTTTAAATCTTATATTTTTGTTTTCTTTCTACGTATTTTGCATTATGGTGCATCAAAAAGAATAAAACTAGACACCATCATTTAACAATATAAAAGTAATCGATTTGTTGAGGTATTGCGGTTCAAATCAAATTTCAAACTGACAAACATTGAGATGAGACTAACAAGAACATGAGATATTTCGAGTGGAGTAATAATATTAATTAAAATTTTCAGTTTTATTTAAATTTAAAAAAAAAGGCTTAAGATTAGAGCGTTTAACTAATCTTATAAGCATAGAATTTTTCGCCTAAATTAACTAGATGTAACTCGAATGTTTAAGCTTATAGTTCCCAAAAATTCTAATGCAATCGATTATGTATTGATTACACGAAATTCTTACTTTCTTATAATTCTTATTCTCACACTCCGTCTTATTTTCATATAAATTTTTTACATTGCTGTTATAATAATACGTGCTCTAATTCTAAATATTCTAAAAAGAAAAAAAGTTGATAAAATTTGTAATCGAATTTTCTATCTTCGAGTTTTCAGCATTTTCTATTATTCAATCGGGATACGAGAATGCATGATAATCTCAGTAAATTTATGAAAGTTGTTTTTTTTTATAATTTTTATTATTATTTTCATTTTATTATTATTTTTATTATATGTACTTTTATTTGTTATTATCATTATTTTTTTTATTATTTTTAAGTTAAATTGTAATATTGTGCTCTCTTCTTTATATTACGGTAGTGGCGCTTAATACGGACTCTATAGATATAATAATTTATATATACGCTGTATAACACTATGTATATACAGTATACTGTTGCGAAGTCAGGCATCTAAATTCAGTAAAATGAGAATAAGGATTCTGTCGTGGTAAAATTAAAAAGAAAGAAAGAAAAATGCAAAAATGATGAGACAATAAGAAAAACAGAGAATAAATACAAAATAGAAAGTAGTTACCAAACCATTAAGTCAAGAACTTCTCAAATACGAGTGTTCATTATTATTTTTACAAAGATTATTAATACATTGTTCTTCTGTCGTACACTATACTGTATTATACAGGGAGTCGATATTTAAAGTAATTCTACAATATTTTTAACAAATTTTGGGAAAGAATGTGATTTTATTAGTTCCACCATGTCTGTACGTCTGGTTATAAAATTTTTACACTATGAAATCCCCTACCCCCTCTGAAAACTGTGGCTCTCAAATTCTTTTAAAATAGTCAATTGTGTTGAAATTATAAATATTTTTTAAATTCTGCAAACAAGAAAAAAATTAATAACATGTTTTTTTTATTTCCAAACAGAATATGCAGATGATGTGCAATAACAAAAATTGTCTAAAATGATTTATATTCATTAAAAGAACATTTTTTCGTATTTCGTCTTCCATTTGCAAGTTATCGCGTCTCAAAATTAGTAAAATTTTAATTTTTAGCGTCTTACTATTCCGGAACTATAAACTTTTCCAAATTCCTGTAAAAGCCGAAAATTAACAGTAAATTTACTATCAAATAATATAATTATTAGCCGAAAAACTCGAACATAATGGGAATGCCTCATTTAACTTTCACAGGAATGCCATCGTAAAAGAATGAAAGTATTGTTGAAGGAAAATATGCTTACTTTACAAACTATTGACTCAATGAATTTATTCTACATTACATATTTGCAATTTTATAGTGTAGTATAGATAGAAGAATAAATAGAGAATGTGGTTAAAGAAAGGAAGAATAACCAAAAATATTGGTTATAGAAATAATTTAAAAATTTATTCTTGCAATATTATTGCTGAGTATAGTGAGAGCATTGTTTAAAACTTTTATATGCGATAAATTATGGTTATTTTTTTTTTGTTTTTATATTGAATGCATTATGTATAATATTTTCTTTTAAATTTTCTATTTGATTCTTTTTAATGGAAAATTGAAATTAATTTCTTGATTATTATTGTATAAATTGGTAATTTTTTTTCAGAATTGATTCAATATTCTTGTAATTTTTAAAAATTATACAAAATTTGATCGTATTTCTACAGTGTAAATTATTTATATGAAAAAAAAATCAAATTGAAAATTCGTTTTATACTTTTAAGAAAATAATGGGATAAAATGCAATTAACATAAAAATATATAAAGTATTTTTGGAGTATATAAGTACTTATGTACCTAAAGATGGTTTTCATATTGCAGTAAATCCTTTTTATTTTTAAAATCCATGTAATTTTTCTGAATTTATCCAATGTAATTGTATAAAGTATGTACCTATGCTGTTAAATGAAGCCATATTGCCGGTTACATTAAGAGACTGTATAGAAGTTATGAATTTATTTTCAATTCAATTATGTATTACTATAATACTGCTATCCCCGTTATATTGGTTCAACTCATATATATTAAATGAGGGTAATAAATAATTTATCAATAAACCAAAGATGGTTTTATTTAAAAATAATTCTTAAATTTTACATAAGTGTTCAATTATGGTTAAATATTTTTATGATTTGCAATTTAATTGAAAAAAAAAATTGGTTTTTATTTTAATGTCTCGGTTTTTAAACAAATTATAAACAATTTACATATATTAAGTGGTATAAAATGAAATTGTTTTACTAAGAAGAAATATTTTAAATGATATAAGTCGATTGACTTCATAAGAAGATGCCATTCGTGAACAGATTATATTTATAAGATTATTCAAATTTTCTGTAGGCAAGAAGACGATTCAAAATCCAATTACGAATAGATTTTATTGGTTAACCTTCAACCTATATTAAATAAATTCAAAAATTTTGTATATGTGCATCTATATTAGCTCCGGAAACTTAACAAATTTTCTTAGTAAAATCGAAAATTTTAGGAGTCTTACTCTTTGTATTTATTAATTTAGCATTTTTGAATATAATTCTATTAAAATTTCATACATATACACATCGTAATTGCCAACACATTCCTCTTTTTTGCCAATGTTGTATTATACGAATGGTACTATTATGATATTCAATCTCTTCTTACATTATGAGTGGACAAGAAATGTGAGGTAAAGATGAAGAATGGGAGCTGGAACACAATACATTGGTCAACGCTAACAATTTCAAGTTATGTTAAATACGAGTCAGAAATTTAGAAATTCAAAAAATTTTTGTCATTTTTAAAAGTAATTACTTATCATAA